TATTCTAAACTTCAAATATCAAAAATAATTCATTATAAATCAATTCCAATATTTGACTAATTTTTGCCGTCTCTTCATTATTTAGGGCTGTTTAGCAATAATGTTCCACGATTTCACTAGACATACAGGGTGTCCATCTGCAGCAAACTCTGTCCTCTCAGGTCTAATGTACTTTTGTCTCAGGGTGTCTATAAAGTGTCTTTACGATTTCAATTTTGTTATGAAGCCAGTTCTCAATATATATCGTAACCAGGTTTATTGTTGTTTTCAATCAGTAATTATTCAAGTATTTATACTTCATTTAATACATCTGTGAGGGCCAAAACAATATATGGTATCGATAAATTCCCTCTGCAATTTTAAATTTCAAGTCTTTATGTACGCCCTATATAATAAACGTTCTGATATAAAGTAAGAGGGGACATTTCGAATGAGTTTTTATAGCGGTCAGCTTAAGTACACATTGTGTTTTGATTAAAGGTTCTCGTTGCCACCTGAGCCCTATATCGAGCCGCTGTAATAACAAAGTGACTACTTTAGTGCACTGGATAAAACCAGTCCCATATAAATTGAAAAGGCGGTTTCTAGTATTGAAATCAGAGATTACTGCTTTAGTAGGGGAATTTTAAGATATAATCAGTATTTAGCAATGTCGAAAGAATTTAATTGAAACACATTTATTCAAAATTGAAGCATTTTAGATTTCAGATAATTAAAATACTGTTTTATCTGAAAAAAATAGCTATTTTTGCTGTAAAATTGCAACCTACGCAAATTTTGAATTATTAAATCTGACACAAGCAATGTTTCTATGCTTATGAACAAACATACAATAAATGGGATAATCATTTTTGAATAAAATACATTTTTTTGATCAACTTTCGGAGGTCAAATGCTTAAAATAACAAATTTCTAGATGGAAATACATTCTAAATCAATGCATCTGAAGCAAATAACTGGTAATCAATCCTCATAGTCGACATGGACTGCTGACAAACTAAAGGGCTGTGGTTCACCATATACCATTAATCCGTCTTATTAGCTTTGCTCCCACCATATTAGTATGAAAACCCATAACATATGCTAAATTCCTTGTTATCAAGAATTCTTTATTAGGAAAGAGTAACTTCAGACACCCAAATACTCTCAGAATAAATTTTACAATGGACGTAGATTCAAATTTCTAACCAGATCGATTTAACGAGAATTTCTCAAACTGGGCCGTCGACCTTCCAAGCGGCCAATAGGTGGTCCCAAAAAGCTCCAAGCAAATGCTTTCAATAGATACCATAAGCTGTAACTACGTTAATATAAAGTAAATTGGATGTAATTTGTTTAATTCCTTGACTGTACTAAATTTATTCCTTCGCCTTTGATTGCTCATTTTTCCATTATTAGGCATTTATAAAAAAAAAAAAAATATGTAAGATATGCAATCATATTTTTGTTATGTTTAACACAATTTTCATCATTCACTTCGAAACTGGACACAGCGCACTAGCGCGCCGTGGCATACTTTGTGGGAACCGCTGCACAAGGAGATTGTGCCCATGGGTGTGATATATTGCATTCTCTATTTTCCAACAAACAACATTGTTGACTATTTGGTGCTCCCGAAGTATGCGAACCAAGATGGCGGACATAGGAACGTAACATGGGTAACAGGATAGGGTTAGGCGATAATTTCTTTCCAATTTTCCTTTTTTAGTCCTATTATCAGTTTGAAGACTAGCCAAGAGCCTCCCGTAGTATTTATACCTAAAATGATGGCCTAACCCTAACCTAGTACACATATTACATTCCGATGTCCGCCATCTTAGTTCGCATACTTCGGGAGCCCCTTTCATTCTCTATTTTCCAACAAACAACATTGTTGACTGTTTTTATTCAAATACTGAGAGTCTTTGAAAGGGATGCTCAATATTAATTTAAAAGCAAATTGGCGTAATTTGTTTAATCCTTTGACTGTGATGCATTTATTCGTTTGCTATTCATTGTTAATTTTTTCATTATGAGGCACTTTTCCATTATAAAGTATTGGAAGTCTTTGAAAGTGAAGCATGTATTGTGAAAGTGATTTTTTCAGACATTCTTTAACTATGAAGCAATAATATTTTGTACCGACTATCCCCAACGTTTGAATTAAGTTAGCGTGCTAATTCTGGAACCATCGGCACGCACAGTGCGTATATTGTTATGATATTCTACTTCAACCATTACAAAACCCACGGATGGAAGTTCCAGTTACTAATAAGGAGAAAACAATATAGGCTACAAAAAATTTCAATATTCAAGTCCAGGGGTGGCCGAAAATGCGTGATCTGATATTCTGGACAGGGTATGTTCAACAAAGAAAAAGGGTCAGTTTTCGAAAAGCAGAAAAATTACACATAAGCAATGATTCGATTAGTTTTCTATATTTTACAGTTTCCAAAAATTGAAAAAAGTCCTTTCTGGGCACATTATAAGAAATTATTACCAAAATCTGATAATTTTGTTTCAATCATTTTTTATTTTACTAGCTGGAAAAAATGAACTTGCCCAAGAATATTATATTTCCTCTCGTTCTTGGTATCGTTAATCAGATAATCTACCTTTAGTAAATTAATGATAAAAACACAAGGTTATTGCAGACTACGGTAATTTTGTGACAAAAAAATAAACTGATAAATAGCTCTGAATCAATTAATTCGTTTTGGTCATCTAAAATTATGTGCTCAACTTTTTCTGGTATCGTTTTTTTTATATGCTGGAAAACTAAAATAAACTATGAGTATGACATTTATACTTCCTGTCTCACTCGGTATTAATTACATAAAAAAACTAAAATTTTGGTCTAACTTTAGTAAATTAATGTTAAAAATACAAGGTTATTGCAGACCAACTCTGCGACGTAAGAATAAATCGATAAAAATAGAGAAAAAATATATTTTAAATTTCAAATTGTGATTAATGTGACATATATTTTGAGCATGCATGAATTGTAGACGTCTTAAAATGGGAGTTGAAATTTATTCATAAAATAACAAGTTACACAAACAGGGGATGGCTAAAATAGAATAACATTTTTGAGTATTGAATATTAAATGTATCAAAAATTGGCTCATGTTCACCGATCATTATGGATAAAACTATACTTCATTCAACTTGTAATCATTGTAAAAAATATAAAAACAATCAAAATGAAGTTTATCTTGACTATTCTGCGTTGCTAAATTCAATTTTTTCAAAATTTTTGTTTTCAAATTCTTGAATATTCCGAACACTTGCTAAAATAATACTTTCGATTATGAAATAAATGATACATATTACATCCTAATTTAGGTCATATTCAATGAAGACAAAATATATTTATCAAGTCTGAATTCGATAAAGAAGAAATAGTAGAAAATTTCTTGTAATATTCGGAAATGAAATGAGGGACTTTTTGGTCTGTGAGACTTAAATTGCTAAAAATGGTAATTTTTCAAATTTAATAATTTTTCCAAAAATCAAGAATTAGAAACATCAATTTAAATTCTTACGAATATTCAATTTGTAGTCTGAATAGTACATTTTACAGCTATGGCAATCCTAGACACCAGGCATTAATAATATTATATTAATTTAAACAATTTTTTTGAAAAAAGTTCTTTTTCCTATTTAAGACAATTTTAGACCAGACAAACTTTAATAATAGAATTATATTTGACTTTTTTTAAGCAAATGTTTTCGGAGCGTGATCACTCTGCCAAACCCTAAGTTAAATAAAAATCACAAAAGAAAAGATTGAAAATCAAATATTAGACTTTCTTTGATCTACCTAATATCAAGAAACTCTCAATAGTTCTTTTATACAACCCTTTTGCTCCGAATTAGGCCCTGTATAAGAAGCCGCTGATATTTACTGTTTCCCCGAAAATAAGTCCTAGCCTGAATTTTAGAATGATTTTAATATAAGCCCACCCCGTAGAAAAAGACCTAGTCGATAGAGCGAATTTTATTTTTGATCTAGTTGATAGGAAGAAATCTCTCCGACACGTTTTAAATGATTAATAATCTATGTTTAGCAGTTATTTTATATAAAAAGTTTTTCTTATTATTATAACAAATTCTATATTTCTGTCTGCAAACAAGAGTCTCTTTTTATACCGTATTTGCTCGTTTTGTAGCCCAAATTTTTTTAACCAAACTCACTACCCGCCCCTTATTCAAACCAGCCCTCATTCAAAAACTGGCGCTTGTTATTTTTGAAGTAAAATTATACACAAAAATATATATAAAAAACATATATCAAGATAAGATCGATCGTTACAATAATTAATATATTGTCATTTCCAGTTCTCAAGTATGATTTAAACGAGAATAACGAAAATTTTGACTTTCTACGCACCGCAGGTACAAATCCGCAAAAGAAAAAAAGTTTTGCGACACCCTATCAATATTGAAACGACGCACTTGGGCGTCGCGACGCCTAGTTTGAAAACCACGGTGTTACGTAATCAGTGCTATCTGTTATGTATTTGGACACGAAGGCGTGAGTGTTATCTACCAGCATTTAAAATTCAACAGCGTTGTGACAAAAGCGCTTCTTATTTCCCATTGTTCTCTACCACTGAAAAATCAGCTTTTACATCGGGCGGTTATTCAAGCACCGGCCCTTATTTATTTTTATGTTCTGTTCACACGGGCGGCTATTCAAACGGGCCCTTAATCAAGACCGGGCGGTAAAACGAGCATATACGGTATGTCCAGAGTTGTCGGAAAAGAATTGAATACTCAAATAGAATCAAAATTAGTTGGATTTAATACAAAAAACTCTGATTAATTAAAAGTAAAATAAGTTTGTAACAGGACTTAACACTTCGTATATCAGCTTGCTCAAAATTAAAAACAAACGAAATAAAAGAAAGAACAATTCTAAGTCTATTAAAAGAATAAAATATGTTTGTATATATATGTATATCTGCTTGTTCACAGCCTAGCTCAAAGTGAACAACGAATAAAATAAAAGAACTTACAATTCTAAACATGTGAGGTTTGTCTTCAGCCTGATGTCGGGTAGTGTGTTGAGTGAGCAGTGGTTAAGTGAGCTGGAATGAATAGATAATATAAATATGGAGAAAACTAGTTATGCTGAAATACCGAATAACCCCCCCCTAAAATACTATGAACAGAAAAAAAAACAGATATTTTTTTAATTACTTTTATGAAAATGAAAAAAAATTATTTAATACTTGAACTTCTGTTTGTGTATGATATTACCTAGAAGTTTCAATAATCTAGGACGAATTTTCTCTATAATATGATCTGGATTCGTTTTTTGAAGGCCAACCTGTCCTCGGCCAAGATCAACTAAAAGTTTCAAAATAATCTACAATAGACTGTTGCAATACTATTCGATATAACAAAATAACCTATCAAGACAATCCCTTCAAAAAAAAAAATTTTGTATTTTGGAAATGCACCTAAGTTGTAGATCAGCGGTTCTCAACCGGGGGCTCTCGGCCCCCTAAGGGGGCCACAGAGGAGTTGGAGGGGGGCCACAAGGATGGGCTAAAATCTGAATTTACTTTTCACATTAAAAGAAATCTCAGTTTTTCCTTGTTTGCTGCTCAACAAGGTTATTTCACAGGGTGTTTTCGCTCTCTTTTGTGCAAATTGTTTTAACATAATGGGATTTGGAATCTATCAATGAAAATAACCCTATTAATACCTCTCAAATTATTAAAGTGGGGGCCATGAGTGCTAAAAGCCTCCGAAAGGGGGCCACGAGTCATAAAAGGTAGAGAACCACTGTTGTAGATGAAAGGTAATTTTATTGTCTCTATTAAGTTTTGTAGAAATACAAAAAGGGGCGTTTCCCCGTCATCTTGCTACACTTTAATTGCTCAAGATGACAATACTGGAAATATTACTGATAGCTGCCCTTAATAAGGACGATAATATCTGATAGAGAAACCACAACAAGGTAAACAATATGTCTTGAAGACAAATATACTTGGAGTAATCAGTTTGTTTAAGAAGATATCTCGTAAATCAGAACATTGAATAATCGTGCGACATGACATCGAGACAAGCGCTTCATTAATTTAGACAGGTGGTTGGATTATTGGTCTGAGTGAAATATGAGGTTGCAATTGCCTAGTCCTGTGTTTTGCAACCTATGAGTAGCGAGGGCGGCTTAGTTTGAAACAAAGAATTAAACATTATTCAGTTTATTTCCTAGTAAATTTTATTGTTTATTTTGTATTGAAGTGTTGCTCAATAGTACTGTATTCGTAAACGTGGGAAGTATAAAAGCATGAAAATTGGCATCAAAATGGCATTTGATTATGTAAAGCCACACATCTACATGCCGTTCAGTATTCGAGCATATCCTTCACAAGATTTTACAAAATTTATTTTTTAAAAAATTTGGGTCGATTGAATAAAAGATTGGGAACCGCTGGCCTAGACATTAAACATAACTATGTTCAATTGACAAATAGAAAGATTTTGGAACCAAAATCCTAGATAATGACTAATACGAAGCCTAATTCAGAGTGAAGGACAGTGTTCCCTCTAAAATGTGCGCAGGTCCGCGCGCACACAGCTTTCAGGGGCTGCGCACACGCATGGATTTACTGCGCACAGACATATTTCGATGTAATGTAACAATGTTCTCGGTTGACAGGTTGAGAAAGTTTGTTGTTGGCCCACCCATTACCCAGTTAGAACGCCAAAATTTCTTCATTGGTTTTTGCACAAATATTAGTCATTTCCAAAAAAGTGCGCACACACCAAAATTTCTGCGCACACATACTATAAAAAATTAGAAGGAACATTGGTGAAGGCCATGTGAAAAATTAAAATATAGGCATTGGAATTTATCATGTTGGTATCACAAGAGAAAGGTGTCAGGGCTAAACCTCAGGCGCACAACAAACCCCATGGTATAAAAAACTGGGGAGGAAATGTTGGAAGGATTCTAGATGATTTAAATGTTCGTGTGATTGCTTGTACAATGCCTTGCTCGAAAAGAACTTGGAGTAAAAAACTTACATTTTATGTATTGAGTACGTTCCAGTGAGGTCTATTGTAAAATTTTGTAGTTTATTTCCACTGAGATCTCTGAAAAAGAAAAGAAAATTTTTTTAAAACATTAATAATATGAGCAAAATTTTTTACAGAAGTAACTAGAAAATTGCAGGATTAACAAAAAAATAAAAAATTTTGTGGTCCAGAAGTGTGTGTACCAATATGGAGGTAACTAATCTTGTTTGCCTACTTTACATCAAGTTGTGTAAAGGGATTGCAACCTATGGGCAGGGGGTATATTCACATGGCTAACACAGACAGTTCACAAACTTGTAATAAAAAAACTAGAATAAGGAAAAAAACTAAGAAACTTTTGATACGTCCATCAATTTTATTTTTCCAAATCAAAACTGTTCAGTTTCAAAATCAAAATTTAAATATGAATACTTGAGTGTTCATATATTAGGGGCATACCTATTGATCTTCACCAGTGGTTATATATTATATTGTGTGCTTAAGATACTGATATAATACCTGCTTTGAACCCAAACATATTGGTGAAAAGCCCATAGTTTAGGGATTAAAATTTCAAAGGTTTTGCGAAATTTTTGAAAAGGCAGAGTTTTCACACAATATTGTGAAAATATCTTCATTTGAATATTATTCCTGTTTCAAACATGGCCCAAACATGTCGTAGAAGATCGTTACATATCATGGAATATCACTGGCTGATTGTAAATCGAATTATTTAAATAAAAAGCACGATAAGCGTCACAGAAAAGATATAAAAAATGGATATGTATCGAATACATTATTCCAGGGATTCTTAAACTTTCAGTGATATGGAGCCTCTAAAGAGGTTGACTAATATTAACAGAGCGCCGCAATGAATACATAAAAATAAAAACACATTGTTATTCACCTATTAATGTTCCTGATCCGTAAAATTAAATTACTTGAAACTTATAGATAATGTCATATCTGAATTTCAGTTTGAAGCTAACTGTGTAAAATTTCAAATTTGCCATTTTTGTTTCCATGGACAGTAACACATTTAACCAAGTCAGTACTCTAATAAATAAACAAATATCTCCCAGAGCCCCAAGGTTTCTCTCAAGGAGTCCTGGGGCATCGTACGAAGCCCTTTAAAAACCTATGCTTTACCCGATATGAGAATCACAGATGGCTAAAACAAATAATTTACTATTTCGATTACAATCTGAAATAATATTTTATAATATGGAGTATCAAATAAATTCTAAAATGGGTTACCTTTCAGAAAATTCCACATGAACTATTAAAATTTCATGAAATTTGAATGTCCAAGATTGATACTGTTATTATCAATATTGAATTTCGCAGTGTAGAAAATAGAATGTTTATTTTTTGTCTGAAAGCTTGATGAAAAATAATCAAGATGACAATTTTTAAAATTCATTTAGAAAAAAAAAATGAATACCAGTACTTAAAACTGTCCAAACTTTCAAAAATGTAACAGTTTTGGTAAATAATAATAATACTAGATTTAAACTTTACTCTTTCGCTTTATTTAATTAACTTCACACATTAATTACACAAACACATGACTGGTATATTACGTACCACATAATATATTGGCTTCTGTCTATGATGTAGCAGAAGCGGTAATACCCTTTTACCACAAGGATTAGGATAATTAAATTATATTTATACTTTGCCAAGTGAGTGGTTTTTGTGTAATCCAGCCAATAAAATGACTCAAATTTTTAAGACAGAAGAGACAGATGAGATAGTTTGATAAATTGGGCCGAGAGAAAATGAAAAATTTATTTGCCCTCAAAACAGAAACACATTTGCAGGTCCTTTAGTTAAAGAGAATGTTACAAACACCAAAGCATCATCACCAAAGCAACACCCTCATACAAGCAGGTATGCAAGTAATAATTACTAAGTAACAACAAGTAATGGTACAATGATTAAAAGTGTGTGGTAAAGTAATCAGACCAAAACATTCACAAAGATAGTAACAAGGATAAAAAATGGGATTTCACATTGAAAAGTAAGTCATATCAGTTTTGGATTAAAAATTTTGATCTTGAGAAATTTCTGTGAATTTATGTATAGGTCTAAGTGCGTAACATCGCAAATATTCTAAAAGCCACACAGAGATGGCACATTTTCAAATAGAATTATATTTAAAGATTGTTCAAATAGATATCAAGGATTTCTAAAAGGGTAAAAGTTGATCTCAATCTCGAACTCAATTGAGTTCAATCTTAAAAATCAAATCTTATTTTGAAAATACCATGAAGACATAGGCTCACGTTAACCAAGTATCTAATCACAGTTCGAAGAACTATTTACTGGAATATTTCAAGATACGGTAAGTTTGAAAAATCAAAAATATTTGTTTTTTTCAAAACCAGTTTTCCAAGTATCGCAATTTTGGTCTATGCCATCAAATTCTTAAGATTTTGAACAAATTTTCTCTATAGCTGAGAATGTATATATTTTGTCCCGGGCTCAGATTTTAATTATGGGAGTATTTTTCATTTTTATTCTATGAGTTATCTCCCTGAACAAGACACGAAGAAAGCAATGAATAGCAATAAAAACTTAATAGAGTTTACAAATCAAAAAGTTAAGTTGTCCTATTTTTTTTAAGACAAATTTTTCAAGTTTAGCTACTTTAGGAGACAAAGCCAATACAGTAATCAATATTTAAAAAATCCTTTATTATAAACTTTCTTAGCAAGTAGAAAGTCCTTTTTTACGGCACCGTTAAAATTTTCAAAATATACGTTTTCCTTATTTTCTCAAGACAGATTTTTCAAGTTTAGCTACTTTGGAGTTAAGCCCTTAATATATTTAAAAATTAATATTTTAAAAACTCTTAGAAATTAGAAAGTTTATTTTTACTGCATGGGTAAAATTTTCGCGCCTCTGTCATAAGAATATCCGATTATCGTCAACAAATATGTGTGAGTCCAAGCAAAGCATTGAAGCATAGCTAAGGATTAGCTTTATTTACTATTACTAAGATTTTCACGGTAAATAGGGCTTATGAAACGATATAGTTTGTTCGAAGTTATGTAACCAGGAATAGTAATTTTTCACAAGGATATTTCATTTGTACATTAGAGCAGTGGTTTCCAAACTATGCAATCATGCAATGCAAGATAATTTTGATGGTCTTGGTAAATGATAATAATAAAATGGATTAAAAAAAATTGAGAAATATCAAGCCATCTCTGGAAATTATTTATCAGCTGTATCAGCATTCTGAAATTATCAATAAAATAATAACAATTGTAGAGATTAACGCGAGGTTTGACCAGCTACATCAGACATTGAATCACGAAAATCGAGGAAACGATAGCATTTATATGTATATCGTTTTGTACCAACCTTAATATATAGTGATTTATGTATTTTCCCATATAAGCCCCAAATTTAAAATGTATCCGATTTTTCATTTTCCAAAAATATTTTCTCAGAATATATTTGAAATAATAAAATATTCGGTTTCGGCCATCCTTGGTTATTACGCTTAAAAATAGCTGGGGTGCGAAAAGAAGCGAGTTCAGACCAATAATAAGTCAAGCGTATCTTAAGCTTCGAACTATTTAACATAAATAAACAAAAAGATAACAGGGGCAAGGAAAGATACTGTTACTAAGCCGTATTTACTCTCTCACCTCAGAGCCTATTTCCCTAAAAGATCTTAAAACCATCAATAACCCATCTTAGTCCATCAATTAATTTAGATTTTGAAGTGGGAAATTTAACCCTCTACTGACCAATAGGCGAAAAATTTTACTAAAACCAAAAATTGCTCAAAATAAATTATTCAAACTTGATTATAATTTATATAGCAATTTCTTAATTTTAGGGAAAATTCGAAATTTTTCATTTTGACTTCTGATACCAAAAAAAGAAAGTCACTTAAAAAACTGTTTTTTTTAAACTATTTTACATCGCTGAATTCAATTTTTGCAATTTAGAATGATTTGTGAAAATTTCTTTGTTGAACATGAATATGACACAAATAACAATACATTCAGTATTTCAGTATAGAAATACATTATTTTAGAATGTGTTCAAATAGGCAGCCGTTCGGTTTAGGACTTCCCTAATTACACCAAATTTTACAAACATATTCTTATGACAATATTTTAAAATAAAATTTAGCAAGTCGAATAAAAACAGAATTATAGATTTAGAATAGAATTATGTGATTAATGTGTAATGTGAATAATATATTTTCAAACTATAATTTGAGTAATCTGTAATGTAAACAAGAATCCCTGCTTTATTTATATTAGCTTAAGATGAATATTTAATTATATTCTGTTCTGACCATTAATTAATGCAATAAGGGGCAAAAAACCATTAGGAAGAGATTTTACTTATAAAGAGTAATCCATAATAACAGAACACAGGTCAATTGGAACAGAGAATATAACTTTTGTGCAAAGTGTCGTAGGTTACTGAAACTTTTGGGTACCTTCATAAGAAATGTTTGGGTACAATTATACACAAACAGGAGTTCAAGGGTTAAATAAGTTTTCTTCATTTTCGTTGAAGTAATCAAGAAATTTATGGTTTCTGAATTTTTTTCGGTCAACCAGTACAAAATTTAATTGTAATTTCTTTTCATACATCTGGATGTGGCTGAAACGGTTCTATAAATTCCGTAAGCCAGGCATCTGGTCGTGAAACCCTGAGTAAGATGGATTTCTGTATTGAGATAATGACATCTCATATTACCATCACCTGCCAGAATTTGCGAGTGTTTCGTTACGCTCCAGATGAATCGTTTTTTAATAAAGCTTTGCTCAAAATTGTGGTCGTTTCCGGACAGGTTTTGACACAAAAATGTTAGGATTCTCAATTGGATATGTGGACTTGGGGTTTTATCAGTTAGCTGCTGAAATAGTGGCTAATAAAATACATTTTTTAACGAGAAATACTTGAAAAAATGGTTTAAAGAATTTTGAAGACTAATTTTACTAAATTATTCCAATATACATGTTTAAATTTACATATACTGGATATTATATATTGAAAAATTGGCTTAGGTTTTGTTGTAAAACCTCTTTTCTAACAAGAAA